TCTCCAGAGTGGCAAATACCTGCCCACAGGCTGGATCCAATTCACCAGAGTTAGCCCCTGGTGGTCTGCAGATGCTGCTATATTTACCCACGCCTCCGCAGGTACGGGTGATTGCACCTCCCGCTGGCTGCAGATCACCATTCCCAGCCAATGTAAGCTGTGGGAAGTGGTGTCCAGATCCACAGCACTTTCTGTCATTCCCATTGACCAGGAATGGTGGTGACCTGCAGCCAACAAGACCTGCAATTGCCTGTACCTGTGGAAGTGCTGGTAAATATAGCAGTGGCGGCCCACTGGGGTGAACCACCACAGTTTTATTACCCACCCCTGGTCTAGATAAGCTATATGCTGGCATGCTGCAACAGCATACACCTACCTGGTCTACCCTGACCCTGCATTCCATCCCACATCTCAGCCACTCTTTTTGACACCATTTGCAGATCTCTTGCTGTTAGGTTATGTATGGGAAAACCAAAACTCCTCATTGTACCCCCAAGTTCTCCATTTTCCTGCCAATAGTAACTGCACCATCATCATCCTCAGTCACTGGCCTGTAACTTAGGGGTCATTTTCTGATTGAACTGTCATCATGTCCCCATAGAACCAAGCCATATCAAAAACCTTTGTGTTTCCAAGAAGATACCTTTTCTCTCTGTCCAGTGTCAACACTTTCATCCAGCCACTTTCTCCCATCTTGACTCCTAAATGTTAATCCTCTCCAGCCTTTCTAACCAAAAGTTCCATTCTAAACACTGCCATTTTCTTCCATGCCCAATGTTCTGATTGTGTCAATTGCTTATAACATCACCATTGCATCAACTACCAGCTCTTGGTTCTCCCTTTTAAGGGGCTTCACAACTAACCTCCTACTCTGCCTCTAATTTCATTGCATTTCTACCCCCTTCATTCTGCCAACAACGCCAGGCTTGATCCCTGGTTTGGCCTCCCCTCTCCCACAAGCGTCTTCAAATTTCTTTCTCTGACACCCTTTATGTATTGAAAACTGTCACTGCACAGACACTTCCTTGTCTTCCTTTTCATTCCTCTTCCACAGCCACTCCTGGCAGAATGTCTGTAGTTAATTCCCAACCGATAATTACTAGGAGAGTATTCATCAGAGGTTATGGTTATTACTCTGTGGTTTCTTTATGCATTTTTTTAATCAGCCACACAATGTGTTCCTGTTACTGCTACCATATTCCTTCCTACATGTCTTCACTTTTATTGTCTACACTCTCTTTTTCCATCTTGATTTAATCTAGTTTATAAACACTGTGGAGCAGGGATTGTCAACACTTAGCACAATGGGTCCCCAATCTGACGGGAGTTTCTGGACACCACTGTAATACATATAATAATGATAGAATATATAATGCTGTTTTAACCAATCACATTACAGGGTTTGCTTAAAAATAGTACCAGAGCTCAATGCTATTGATGCAATAATCCATGGGAATTGCATCCTGTTAAAAAAATAACTGAATCCTTCTCATCCAGTGCATATTTTAAATGGATACGAGCCAATACATTAAGTTCATTAACTTTCCTAAAGTTTGAGGGTGCTTAGAAATGGAGTTTTGGTCCAGGCCAGTACCATAACAACAAATAGACATCCATGAGCTTAGAAGACTCTAGCTAATTAATGAATAACTATTTGTATTTAAGTGCAAGACCAGTACAGGGCACAAATTTAGAAAATCTTTTGCTCTTGAGAGCTTCATGTTCAATGATGCTAAACACAAGCATTTAAATCTATTTCTTCATGTGGCATTAAATTCATAAGTTGACTGATTGCCTCTAAATATTTCCCTTAGTCATAAAAAAAAGACAAAAGGAGTGTTTTAGATTAGCATTTCCTTTACTCGTTAGTACTAATAGCCACAAATGAAACATACAGTTAGTTGGCATGTTTCTGACTAAATATAGATATTTACATGCCAAATCACTCTAATTATTACACACGTCTCTCCGTGTGCCACCAAATATTTTATATGACTAAAGACATATTCCACTAGCTATTTAAGAGTCAGACTGGTTTCATTTTATATTCTGACAAAGAAAGAAGCATTTGCCTTACAATAACCTTATCATATTCAAATATTCTAATGATAGAAATATAAAATGGTAGGTGCTGATGTGGCTCGAAACTATAAAAACAAAGGGTTTTAAAAGTAAGTTTATTTAATGTAGCTTTCCCATGAAAGCACACATTGTTCCACAATAAAACCTCAAATAGATGCATTAAACTTACCAAATGTACTGTAAATCCAATTTCAGTTTGATAAATTTAGGAACTATTTGAACTAGAGTTTGATTAGATTTTGTAAAGACTTTTAAGCTACGGAAGAATGCACCAGGTCTTCCTATGTGTTTACATACCTAGTAAAATAGAGTACTGATACCAGTTAGGACCTCGGGTAGTAGTACAATGCAAAAAAAACCCAAAAGCAGCAGAGGCATGCTGCTTGGATATGCTACATGGCAATCAAAAGCAACCCTTGTACAAATTTTAGGGTATGTCTACAAAGCAAAGTTATTTTGAAATAACTGTACTGGCATCTATACAGCCAAACTGCTATTTCAAAATTAATTCAAAATAGCAGGACTCTTATTTCGAATTTGGTAAACCTCATTCTACGAGGAATAACACCAAATTTGAAATGGCTAATTCGAAATAAGCGCTGTGTAGATGCTTATTTTGAAATAGTTGGCCTCCAGCCCTTCCCAGGGTGCCCTGGTGGCCACTCTGGGCACAACCAGGAACCCCGCTCCCAGCCCCGGAGCCCTTAAAGGGGTAGAGTCTGGCCACAGTGCCTGTGCCAGCTCCAGGCCTGCCAGCCCAGAGCCAGCAGTTGCTGCCCATGACCCAGTGGCCCCACCATGAGCCAGGCAGCCAGTGCCAGCCAGCCCTTCACTGCTCCCTGGGCCCAGTCCCCCAGATCTCAGGAACCTGCCAGGGACTGGAGAAGGCAGGCGCCTTCCTAGTCTAGTGCGGAGATCGTGGACCTCATTGAGGTTTGGGGGGAGGCCTCCAACGTCCAAGATCTATGCACTAGACAGAGGAACGCGGCCGTCTATGGCAGGATAGCTGACAACCTGGCCACCAAAGGCCACATGCACACCCAGGAGCAGGTGCGCATGAAAATTAAGGAGCTGCGGCAGGCATATGCCAGGGCCACAGGGGGCAGGTCCCACACAGGAGCCCCTATTTTGATGCCCAGGACCGCATTCTGGGGGGCAGGACGGTCCTAGCCACCCCAGGGGTCATCAATCCTGGAGCAGAAGGCCCTGACCAGGGCATGGAGGAGGAGCGCCAGGAGCCGCAGGAACCCAGAGGGAGTGGACCACGCAGCCAGGACTCCCTATGGGCTCCCTGTCAGCAGTGTCATCCAGGGAGGCAACAACATGTGAGTGCCATCACTGTCCCCTTATTGGGAAGCAGGTAGGGAGACCGGGGACCGCACGCATGGGACTTGCTTACCATGGATCACGCAGCAACCTGTGCATCTGCCATGCCACCCCTGGGCACATGGCCGCAAGTGGCTGTCACACAGGGGCCTTGGCCTGTTAGCCACACACGTGTGTGAAGAGACATGACATGCTCCTGACCCTGGGATGGGACACAGCAGTATACCCTCCCTCCACAAGGCCATTCTACACAGAGGCAGAGGACATCTCCCCCCCATCTCACCCACACTATACACAACACAGGGCATGGATGCACTCTTAGAGAAGCTCCCATTCCTGGGGCTAGCAGGACATTCCAAACATGGCCTCTGTGAAAGCACATTGGCTCCGATGGTGCAGGGAATGGTCATCCTCACCTTGCATGGAGGGGTTGAGCTTCACCCACTGTGTTCCCAAGGAGAACTGATCACTTCTCTTGCTTCTCCACAGCCGCACCAGCTGCCCGTGCAGGGTGCGCTACCCTGCCCGGGATATGCTCCTGCACCTGAGGGCTCCACAGGACCACTCGTGCGGGGCAGGGGTACCAACAGCAGCACCTGGGGGCACTGCGAGTCCTGCATCACACCCTCCAGAACTGGGTGCAAGACAACTTAGAGCTCCGGCGGGAGTAGCTTGCCCAGGGCCATGCCATCTGCCAACACCTGCAGGCCCTGGTGCAGAGTGTGCTGCCTTCTGCCGCTCCAGTGCCTGCTGCCTCCCCAGCTATCACTCCTTCTCCCCCCTCCCCGCTGCTCCCTCCACCTCCTCCCCACCCCGCCTGGGGATGCCAAGGCCCCTGCATCTGTGGTACTAGGAGACAGTTGGCCTGGCAAGACCCCCACCCCTGAGTCCTGAGCTTCCTCTCCCCCTTCTTCCCTTTGCTTCCCCCTCCCCTCTCCCATCCTCTCTCCTCCCCTCCTTTCCCCAGTCTCACAAGAGTTTCATTTCCCCCGCCCCCAGTTTTGTTAAATAAAGACAGTTCGTGTTTATGAAAAAACGTGTATTTTATTTGACATCAGGAAAGGGGACAGGGAGGGGGTAAGTGGAAGGATGTGAGGGAGGAATGAGGCACAAGCCCCCAATGGGGCTGACCAGGGAGACTGTTAGTTCTCCTCAGGGTGGAAACTCTCCCGCAGGTCCTCCTGGATACTGACAGCCCCCCGATGGCAGCAAGTGCAGTCAGGCTCGCAGCAACACATCCAAGAGAAGCATCAGAGTTCCCAGGGGCAGCTCTGGCTCCATGTTGCTAAGTGCTGTGATGTCCCGAGTGAGGACAACCAGAGCACGCAGAGACAAAATGCTTTGCTGTCCCTCATCGAGGTAGACAAGCAAGCAGGAAAACCTGAGAACTGGCTGTCCGGGGGGGACCCTTTAAGCACAGACCTCAGTTCGCCTCAGACAGCAGCCCCACACAGTAAGTCCTGACCTGGTGCCCTGCCGGAACTGGTTCCAGACAGCCTTAAATGCAATTCAGAGTCCACTGAGGGTGGACGCGCTATTTCAAAATAGCAAAATGCTATTTCGAAATGCATTTTGTGTGTAGATGCGTTATTTTGAAATAACTTATTAAGAATTAACTATTTCAAAATAAGATATTTCAAAATAACGCTGTAGTGTAGATGTAGCATTAGGGACTGAGCCTTGAACGGCGATAAACAGCCTGCAACTCCTATTTGAGGGTTTCAGGGGCTGGAAAATACAAGATACTCCTTAAACCTCCTTAAACCTCTCAGAATTAGCTCCCAAGAACAGTAATTCAGATACACATGTATCTATGATTTGTGATCTCTGTAAATGCAATTCCTTGTCAAAGCTGCTTCCCCTAAAGAGGAAATAAATTATGCTGAACACTCTACAGGTAGCAGTCAATAGAAGATCCAAAAGTAGAACATGAGCAATAATTATAAATATAGGTTTAAAACACTGAAGAGAAAATTGCCTTTGAGCAAATAGGCTGCTGTGAATTTTGAAGAGATGGGAGGCTTTGATAGGGTAGGCGTTTTTTTTTAAAAAACAACACTACATCACAATGATCTGAGCATTACAATAGGTACACACGGTCTTGCAGAATGCAGTGCTTTGTTTCCATTAAAGCTGGTTTAATCTGTTTCTGATATTATTTATAAAATAATATGAAAGGGGGAGGGTCATTCCTGTTATTAGATTTAATACAATTTGTTTCTGTATAAAAGCAGAATATGGGATAATACAGAGCTTTTAACCTTCTTTGCCTTTTAATTGTATAACAATGACAGTGTTTGTATTTCTATTAAAGAATTATTTTATTGCTGAATCAGTAAGAATTTATCTGTAAAATAGCATGATTTCAAGGATAAGAAAAGGAATCCTGCTTTGATACATTATAGGGGTTTAACTCTGAAAAACACAGATTATTTTATTCATAAAGCTGTGGTTTTAAGCAGGGTGACTATTAGAATAAAAGTTTATTTTGTTTTAAAGAAAATTCCTCAATTAACATATAAAGAAAACTAGCATTTGTTATAATTTACATAACATGGGATCATACAATAATTCTATCTTTCCTTCTTGCATAAGGAAACAGATATATCAGGTTAAAACACCAAGAATGTACCATATCATTAGCTTTCATTATTCTTCATCATAATGTTCCATTCCAATTGAAAAAGGAAGCTCTAGAATGCTTTTAAGTGCATTTAAAAAAATCTAATTCTTGTATTCAGAGTCATCAGAAATATGAAATTGCTTATTAGGTTTAGTGGCTTCTTGCATCAATTCCTGCAGCTGTCCAATCTGTTCATTATGGAAGTCATTAAGTTTCTCCTCTGTGAGGTGGACTCCAAAACAAGGCTTTCTTCTTGAGTTTTGTCTGTCTCCAGTAGCTTGCTGCCACAACATTTCTGAATAGACCTAATACATAAAAGAAAAAAAGAAAGGTCAAAGAAAGATGACAAAAGTGAGATTTCTGTTGACTTTCTTGACTTTTCTAATACAGGCAGTCCCCAAGTTACGCGATCCGACTTATGTCGGATCCACAGTTACAAACGGGGCTTTTCTCGCCCCGGAGGACTGGAGCGGCGGGACGCCCAGATGCGCTGCAGTCCCGCCGCCCCCGTCCTCCGGGGCGAGAAAAGCTGCTCCACGTCTCCCTGGTCTGCTGGGGGGG